TAAACTCTTCTGGACAGTTTTATTTTTCTACTAAGTGCATAATTTTTCCTGATATCCTGGTTTGAAATGAATGTAAATGTTTCTCCACCTCACAGAAAATGCTGTGCTGAGCAAACGCTTGGAGGGGAGGGCGCCACCTCCAAACACCTGTCTGGTCCAATGCTTCCATTGCATGCCCCCATCCTGGGCCTGGCTAAGACCTCAGAACTTCCCCCCTGCATCCTCATGCTACAGCGTGTGCCTTCCAATATCCTGTCCACACTAGCCCTAGAAGAACTTTCTGGTACCCAGATCTGACCTCTCTCTCCCCTGCTCAAACACCACCCCTGGCTCCCATTAACCTTGGGGTAAAGTTGACCATTAGAACTTCTCTCTCCCTCTGTCTCTGTCGTCTCTCCACAGACCTTTGACAGCCTGTCTCCTTGACCTTGAACATTGTCTCCCAACTGCACCCAAATGTCTACTGACCATCACTCAGGGACTCAGCCAAGACACATTTAACCCCCAGTCCTGCTTCTCTTCCTCTCAACTCTATTCATGCCCCTGTGGGCTGGGAATGTCCTCATGGGCGACTGTTCCCCCACCAGACTGGGAGCACCTGAAAGGCACATAGCTGGGCTGGGTCATTCTGAAGTCTTCAGAGCACAAAAAAAGTGCTGGGCACAGAACTGCGGGTGGGAAGGCAGCGTGGGAGTGTTTGCTACATGGAGGCTGGGTGGGTGAGTGACCCAGGTGTTCTGGACAGGAGACAGAAGACTTTTACCTCTGGGTCTCCTTTGTGAATCCCTGGACTGGACAGTCGGGTAGGAATTAGGGCAGAGAGGAGCAAACTCAGTGAGTGAAGCTGTTTAAAGCAATGGTATTTCACGGAGAAAAGAAAGGGCGTGGAGAAGAAGTTAATTAATGAACACGTGCTGAGTGGCATCATTAGCCCTCACAGATCATTACTAATTCTCTCAGCAACCCAGTCTTTCTGTCCCAAAAACCTGCAATCATTGCCCTGATAGCCAACTGAGTCCCAAGTCCTGTCTCTAGGCTCTGCTCCAATTACCACTAAGAAATACCAGTAGAATGAAGAAATAGAACTTCTCTCCTCCCCACCTGGGCAGCAGAGCCAATGAGAGGGGCTCAGGACCAGGCCACGAGGACCTGCACTCACCATTCAATCTCTTTGTGCTCACGGTCCCTCAGCAGCTCTTGCACCTCCTGCCGGCAGCGCTCCTGGTATTCTGGGTGCCTCGCAAGGTTGTACAGGACCCAGGAGAGGCCACTGGCCGTGGTGTCATGGCCTGAGGTGCAAGAAGGTTGATGTGGGTCTCCGAGCTGCTTCAGCACCAGAGGGGTGGAAAGTGCCATGACATGGAGGCCCTCAGGGAGGATGGGAGGGATGGAGTATCCGGGTCCACCCACCACATCCCTGGGATGGAGAGACCCCTGTCCCCACTGTAGTCCCACACTGGGATCCTCACCCGCAAACATGAAGGTATCAGCCTCCGCTCTTATATTCTCATCTGACAACTGCTTTCCATCTTCATCCTGGAGAGAAGATAAAATCCAAAAAATCACACAATCTCTGAGACTCCTGCATCTAACCTGAGACAGTCTCTGAAGATGCATTCTCCTCTCAGACAC